CCGCTGGTGACGGTGGTTTTCAGTCAGGGAACATCCCTGTTCCATGGCCTGACCAGCACTCTGCACTAGACGTTGTTTGTCAACCCTCCTGTGGCCCAGAGTTGTGGGGTGTGTGAGCAGTGGGGCAGGGAAGCTCCAGGAGCTGTGAACAAACAGGATTTCTCCTTTTCGGGGTTTTTTCCCTGTTCTGTTGTACCTGGGAGCTGTTAGGAGGGTGCTGCTCATCCTGGGGAATGCAGAAATATCCTTAGGTGGGCATTTGGGCTGCTTGGTGGCCCTCCCTGCTTCCAAGTTTTATGATTATATGGCGTAACTCAGTCTGGGTTTGGGACCAGGAGCCAGGGTCAGACATGGTTCCTGCTCTTCTTTCCATGTGTTGACACCAACTGGGGTAAGACTGGCTTTTGGGGGGGGTTAAGTGAGGAATCCAGGCTGGTTTTGTGCACAGAACTGATGGTGTTTTGTTCTGTTGTGCTTTCCCAGGCTTCCAGAGGGCTTCACGCAGCTTCGGAGCCTGGGCCATTTGGCCCTGAACGATGTGTCCCTGCAGAGCCTCCCCAATGACATCGGGAAGTGAGTAGGCCCCTGTCCTGGCAACGGGAGGAGGGTTGGGGTGGGGACACCGTGCTTTTGGGGTGAGGACACCGTGCTTTTGGGGTGAGGACACCAGCAGGACTTGGAGGGTCCCCTCCCAGGCACAGCCACTGCACTGAACACGCTGTGTGAGCACCTCTGGGCATTATTCATATTAAAAACCCACCTTTTTATAAGGTCCCTTTCACAGAATCCCAGACCGTTAGGGACTGGAAGGGACCTCCAAAGCTCATCCAGTCCAATCCCCCTGCCGCAGCAGGAACACCCAGATGAGGTTACACAGGAAGGCGTCCCGGCGGGTTTTGAATGTCTGCAGAGAAGGAGCCTCCACAACCTCTCTGGGCAGCCTGGGCCAGGGCTCTGTCACCCTCACTGAGAAGAAGTTTCTTCTCCAATTGAAGTGGAACCTCCTGTGTTCCAGTTTGTGTCCGTTACCCCTTGTCCTATCATTGTTTGTCACCGAGAAGAGCCTGGCTCCATCCTCGTGACACTCACCCTTGAAATATTTCTAACCATGAATGAGGTCTCCCCTCAGTCTCCTCTTCTGCAAACTAAAGAGCCCCAGCTCCCTCAGCTGCTCCTCAGAAGGGAGATGCTCCACTTTCCTGGTGTCAGCCCCTTCTCCTCCTCTGTGCTCTGTGGCACAGACAAGGAGGGCATCCAGGCTTCTCAAATCCTCTTTTTTCCTTATTTTATGGGTGCCCCTTTCCAAACAAGACGTGGTCTGTCCAGTGATGCTGAGATGATTTATGCTGCTAGCAAATGGCCAGGGCAGAGCCTACGGGTGCAGTGCCTTTCCCATGGGATTTGGCTTTGTGCACACGAGGGATTCGATGTTTTTGGGCAGTCCTGCGTGTGATCCCACGTCTCCTTGTCCTGAGTTTGGGCATGGTGGTGTTTCGTGATTTTACAAGAAGCGGTCGCCTCCATCGGAAGCCGTTGAAGATCCAATTTGTTCTCGTTGCCACCTCCATTCCTGTGCCCACACCCGTGTTCGTGTAGGCCGTGAGGGGTGGTCCCGAGGGAAGGGTTTTGAGCGTCTCCTTGTATCCCTGAAGCCCTACTCAGCCAACCTGGCTTTCTTGCTCCCTTTTCTCTTGCAGTTTGGCAAACCTGGTGACTTTGGAGCTACGTGAGAACCTGCTGAAGACTCTCCCCACGTGAGTGTCTGTCTGGTGGCTTCAGGAATCTCCTGCCCCATCGTTCCTACCGATTCCTCAGGGATTTGCTGTTTCTGTAGTGCAGGCTGCAGCACTTGGCTTGGAAGGGCTCAAGGCTTTGCGTAAATGAGCTGCACCTTGCTGGATTTCTGTAAAGAGGGGTGAGGAGGGAGAGAGGTGGAGCAGGGGAGGATGTGCAGAGCCTGTGCTCAGCCTCTGGGTCAGGATCGATTTGGAACAGACAGGGTTCCCCAGGAAAGCTGCTGGAAATGGTGAGAGCCCTTTTCCTGGAGAGCTGGAGCAGATCCTTGTGGAAAAGGAGAGACAAAAGTACTGATGGATAGGAAGAGCTCTGCACGCAATGAAGTTCGTAGTTTGCAGGGCAGCAGAACGTGGCCGAAGATGTATTTTGCTTCCAACTTCTCTGTTTCATTGTGTAACCCTTCGGAGGGCTCTGGTTGGGCACCTTGTGGGAGCAGGGTGGGATGTCTGGTGTTCCTGCAGCAGAGAAACAGGGAGGAGAGGTAAGTCCTGTTCAACGTTCGCATTAGGGACGGAGGTGGATTCCTGGCACAGGGTCTGGCTGCTCCAGCTGATGCCAGCGGGCGGACGGGATGTGGAGAACCGATGAGTCTGTGCGTTCACCTCTGCTTGGGAGCCCGTCAGTTGTCTGTTGAGTTTCTAACCCGTGTTAGCTCTGTCAGCGTGTTTGCTGCCTGCTTGTCCATCCAGCTGGTGATTCCCCATTGGATACTCGTTGGAAGGGCTTCTTTGTGAATAGCAGTGTGGTTTGGGCCACACAAACTCCTCAGTGAACGTGTGAAACACACAGCTATCGTCGCCTTTCCTCAGTGCCCTCTTACTCCTGGCAAGTACTCAATGCGGCTCCCTGTACTTTACCCCCTTGCTCCTTTGCGCTGTTTAAAAAGGAGCGCAAAGGAGGCATCTGATGACACAGTGTTCAAGGAAGGCTTTGAGACTAAGCAGGTAGGGCCTTGGTCTTGCTTCTCCGTCGCTGTGAGACGTTGCTTTGACTCAGGTGCGTGCTGTTCCTGATGGTTCTTTTCCTCTGGGATGTACAGGTACAGGCTGTGTCCATGCCCTGTGTTGGTGCTGGACCCACTCCTGTCCGTGCCCTGTGTTGGTGCTGGACCCACTCCTGTCCGTGCCCTGCGTTCTTTGTGTCCACACAGACACCACCACAGTGACACCCCGTGTAAGTGAAGAGGGGCAATAGCTGCATCCAAAGTTGGGCTTTCAAACAGCAGTGAGGGATGGTCCCAATGGCTTTTCACCATTGAGGAACCAACAAGTATCTGGAGTTTGAGAATTCAGTCTGTGACCAGACCCGTGTGGTTTTGGGGGAGATCTCTCATGCTCCTTCGTTTCCCTATGTTAGATTTGTACGCTGTACAGCAAGATTCCTGTAGCATGATATGGGTTTTTGTTCTTTTTCTCTGCAAGATAAGTCCAGGCTTGACAGCCATTCTGCAGTGCAATCCCAGATTCTCTTCATCTTCCACAGCTCCCCAAATTCTGCCTTGAGACCCGTGTGGTTTTGGGGGAGATCTCTCATGCTCCTTCGTTTCCCTATGTTAGATTTGTACGCTGTACAGCAAGATTCCTGTAGCATGATATGGGTTTTTGTTCTTTTTCTCTGCAAGATAAGTCCAGGCTTGACAGCCATTCTGCAGTGCAATCCCAGATTCTCTTCATCTTCCACAGCTCCCCAAATTCTGCCTTGAGAAAGGAGGTTTTCTCTGCAAGATAAGTCCAGGCTTGACAGTCATTCTGCAGTGTGATCCCAGCTTCTCTTCATCTTCCACAGGTCCCCAAATTCTGCCTTGAGAAAGGAGGGGGTAGCAAGGGGGATTGGTCTCTGCTCCCCATAACAAGCGATGGGATGAGAGGAAATGGCCTCGAGTTGTGCCAGGGGAGGGGGAGGTTGGATTTTGGGGGGATTTCTTCCCCAAAGGGTTCTCGGGGGCTGCCCAGGGCAGTGCTGCAGTCCCCAGCCCTGAGGGGTTCAACAGCCCAAAGGGCGCTGCA